TTCAGAGCAGCTGTATAGCATTATTTATACAGCCACACAATTTCACTGTAGAATCATTTCCACCTATCAGAGCTCTGGTCGATAACATCTGTGGTTCCCTCACAACCACCAGCATAAACATAATCCTCCTGTGGGTGTTCACACAGGTTCCCTGTGTGAACTGGGAGTTCACAGCAAGTACTGGCTGACTCCAGGTGCTGCTGTCCAGATACAGATAAGACAAGGACAGAGGTTCACTCAGCACAGGGTAGTCTCAGCGTGTCCCCGCCATCTTGCAAACGTGTTTAAAAACTGAGCTCCTGAGTCTTAACTGTTATAAAATACTAAAGAATTTACAAGGACCTGAAACCCGCCAGGTGTTTCTGATTGCCAGCTGTCTGTGAGCCGAGGCCATTCCCACTTAGTACTTCCTGTAATTGCACAACGTGTTTACAGACCTGCTTGACAGATGAGAAAGCTGAGCATCAGAAGTGGAAAGCTGCTCCCTGTAAAGCCACTAAATACCTTCAGTGGCATCAGACCCAAACTGCTCTTCCAAACATTCATCATATCTGAAGCAAAGATCTACCAAGCAATTCAGTGCCTCCAGCTCTTAACTGCTAAGAGTTGTCCTTTGGCTTCAAAAGTATACATAAACATATATATGTATGTGTGTATATGAATATACAGATCCTATATAAAATATTTTATATAAAAGTATATATTTAAAGATATATCTAAATATATGTGTGTGCATATACATGTGTGTGCATATTCCTTTTTGAAGGAATCAACAAAATTTCTCTTCTCATGGGCCTTCTTTTACATTAGAACTTTCTTCTCTTTCCCATGTTGGGAGTTACTGATGTACCTTACCTTCTGAGACTTGTCCTCCTCCTTCAGAAGCCTTCTTGGCCTGGATACCTCCTCCAGGAATTATGAGCCAATGGGAGATGAGAAACACAGCATGCTCACCCAAGATCTCACCCTTCCCCCTGACAAGTATCAATTTCCTTATTCCCAAGTCCATCGACCACTTTTTGCCAACATCCATGAAGTTCACATAGTAAATGGTATTTGCTGACAAAGAAAATGCTTGTATTTGATCATTTGTCTACCTTAAGACAACACATCTGCATTTAACATAGCTTTGATATATACAAAATAATTCTATTTTCAAAGCCAAGACAATTGTGCTATTATTCTGCAGTCTAATCCTAGCATATTTTTTCTTTCAACTCCTTATAAAAACTAAAAAAGACTGCAAAAGTCAAAGTATGCCTAAGATTTCTAAGTAGGAATAACCATAGCCAAAAGAGGAATTTTAACAGTGAGACGTTCAGACACCAAGAAGGTGTTCTACTCTGTTCACAAACCCCAAAAGACCAGGAATAAACAGACTCTGCTGTAAATACATGAGGTTCTTTTTATTGTAAATTACAAGCTGCAGCTTGGGCCCACACACCCCCACTGCCGAAGCGGTGGGAGCCGAACGCTAGCGCCCAGATTAGTTGGGTCATTTAAAGATTCTGGTCCATCCCAGCATACCCTCGGCAGGGGGAATTCCTACCTGGCAAGCATCTATTGGTCAAAATGCTACATTTTGAATTGACTGGCTATAGTAAGGTTCCCAGACCATTAATGACCTGGTGTCCCTCCCTAGGGGGATGGGCCAGTTTCCTAGCAACTGTATCTCTAGTGGGTGGGGAAAGAATGCAGTGAGGCTGAGGTGGCCCTTCCCCTCAGGGCATTACTGTACTTCTTTACCTACCTAGTTCAGGCCTTAATTAATAATAGCTGCTAATTTTTAATCTTTCGGTCTCTCAAAGGGAAAGGGGAAACCTGATCAGGGCCTTCATATAAAACTTTGCCTCAATCACTGCCATATAGCCTGGTGCATATCAAATCTGTGCAGCAGTAATCAATCAAAGCAAGTTCTGGGGGAGACGATGTAGAAAGATGGAACCAGTAAGCTAAGAATGTACAGTACTCCAAATGTAGTTGGATGTGATCCTACTGTAATGTGTGTGGGGAAGAAGTAGATGGCTTACTAGGTCCTATGGGGTTTTCAAACTGCAGCCTTCATATGCAACACCTGGAGAGTCTGTGACGAAATTTCATGGCCAGCTCCACCTGCTGGAAATGCCAGTGGGTGGAGGAAGGGCAGAGCCTGGCTTTCAAGTGTCTCACACGACTGACAGTTTTCTTTTAGCCTTAGCAGTATTAAGTTCTCTAAATGTTGATAAGTTCCAAGAACAAGACAAGAAACCTGACCAGCATGGAGCCTTTACTAAGATCAAGGCTCAGTAAACTTTCCAGTAGAGTTTAGTAGTAGAAATCTGGAGTCCTTATGGGCAAAGCCTCCTTCAGCATTACCAAGACACCATAAATTTAGCAGCAGTCGATGTTTAGCCCTTATTTACAGACATTAAAACATAATTTGCAAATAATTTTCACATAATAAGTCTTCCTTTTCTTAACATACCTAAAACTAAAAAAAAGAAAAAGAAAAAAGAAAACATTCTTAGCTCTCAGCAGAGCCACAGAGCAACAGAATTCATTCCTCCATCAACAATAATGTATTAACTATCTCAAAGTAAGGAGGAGTTTGAATGTATTCACCATAAAGAGTGATGAACCTTCAAGTGGTAGATATGGTCTTTACAAGAAGAAAATCATGTATCTAATGTATACATCACTATATGGAAACTTCATAACATGCCTTTTTTTTGTGCAGTTATGACAGTCAAAACACTAGAATATAAAAAAGCAAAAAATTCACCATTCTTAACTCAAAATTGTAAAGAGGAGCTACCAGGTCAGTTTAATAACTTTGATTATGAAATCATGATCATAAATCTTGACCCTTTCCGGAGATGATCTTTAAATGTGTCATTTTTTTTATAAGACAGCCATTTTTGTCTATTTAAGGAAAAATTTTAAGTCATCCATGAATACTTCCCAACCTTCATAGTATTTTCAGCTAAAACATTTTCATCATGTGGCTAATGTTTTTGGAGCTCCTCTGGGGCAGAGTTGCTCATTCAGGAATCCAAGTTTAGTCAGTCTGTCTCCAGTTATACCATCGAACCATAGAGCGTGTGCCAGGCTCTAAGTATCTTTAAATCAGCTAGCTTCTTCACACAGCTTCAGTGTGAAAATCCTTCTTTTCCAAATGGCTTGAATCAACCACCCAGCAAACTGTGAGTAACATCTTATTACTTGTGAACCAGAAGCCTGGGATGGGCTCTCCAGAACTTTTTTCATGGTTAAGAAGGATTAGATCAGCAGTTAGAGCATTTGCCTAGCATGTGTAAGGCTTTGTATTAAACTTCACGTATGGAGGGGAAAGAGGCAAAGATATGGTAAGAGGAAAACAGAAGACAGCAAATGAGAAAGAGAAGACACAGAGAGAAAGAAGAGATGGAGAGAGTGAAAGGAAAGGGGAGAGAAAGAAAAGGGTAGGAGGAGAGAGGGAGGAGAGAGAACACAAACTAGCTCCAGCCCAGTGTCTACTCCCATTTGCAGCAGCCTGAGATGGCTCATCATCACATCAGACTAACAGTAATGATACGATCTGTTACCCTATTAAGTTCTTCACCCTAGAATTCTTTGGTTTATTAAACATGGCTAAGTAAGTACCTGAACCCTCAACCAGAATTCCAGAGGCCTGGCTTGTACATGGCTGTAGAAGAGGCTGGGTGTTGGAATTACTGGTAGTTAACTCCAGTACTCAGGAGGCTGAAGAAGGAAGATCTTGAGCAAGAGGCTATCCTGGACTACATAGGCAGAGCCCACCTCAAAACAATAAATATAAAGAATTGTAGAGGATAAACTCCAATGCTTCAGGACAGAGCTAGTAAGTATTCTCAGTGGGATTTGAACACTTACCTGCCAGAAGAGAAGTGCACTATGGCGAAGTGCACGCCTTCCTATGGAAGGCCTTTCCCCTGGGCTACTCCAAACATTCCTTCACCCACTAAGGAATGAAAACCCAGATATCAGGTGCACCCAACCCTTGCCCATTGCTTCCAAGCCCTCCTCTCCTCCCCACAAAGTAACCGGCTTGATGGTATCAAGATGTGAGAAGGGTGTGGTGAAGTAGAGGATCAGAGGAGCCCTGAGCCTGTCTCCACCCCCAGAGTGTATAAACATCAGCCAGGAGGCAGCTGGAGAGTGAACTCCCATGAGGGCATGTGCCTGTCTTTCATCTCAGATTCACAGTCTTCACCTTTCAGCATAATCTACGCAGGGCTGGCTCAGGTGGACCCTCATAGGCAGGACCTTCTGTCAAAGACATAAGACACCCATCAGTTGACATCTGAAAGCCACTGTGTTTCTTAGTTGATTTGTGGACAGGCATATTTCTGGAACTCAGCCAAGTCCCTCATCTGATAGAAAATGTCCACCAAGTTGTAATTCACCTTGGAATAATATTTCTAAGCACAAAAGAACACAGTGAAACTTCAGCATCTCCATGTGTGTCTAATAAGTGAAGACTAGAGTGAACGAAAGCTTTTAGAAAGGCTTTCAAAAAGCAACAACAGTAAAATACTTTCTTTAAGATTGAGAATCCTGTGAGTGACAATGGGATCTGAAAATAACAGATAAATGAAGTTCTATAGAGAGTTTTATAGACAAAAGCTGAATGGTGGGTGTTGTAAGTACAGTGTTCCCAACATGACTGCATGTTGGAATCACCCAGGGAGCTTAAAAAATTAAATTAAAAAATAAAAATAAAAAATAACATGCCCCAGCTACACCCAAAGTCAATTAACGCCAATCTGGGAGTAAGCCAGTGGGATTCAGACTTCTGAATTTTTTGAAGCTTTGCAGGTGATTCCAAAACCCAGCCAAGGCTGGGCTCTTCTTCATGGTAAATCTTGTTCCCTTCCTTTTTAACTTAGTCTGACAAAATTTGCTGTGTGGATGGTCATTCTTTACTTTTGCCAATAACTTCTTTGAAGCTGAAATCTGAGCTCTCAACAATTACAGAGATTCACAAATACACATACACAAAATACATGCACACATACTTTTATTTGTTTAATTTAGGCCCTAATTATTAGTACATAATCAGAAAAACTGAGTGCCTTTGACACTGCATACCTCTCCAAATATTAAAAATAAAACAACAACACAAAACCCCCAGAACTCAAGAAAGCACACATCAAATACATTTAACTCATAATACATACACACACACACACACACATCCCTACACACAGCCAATTCAAATCACCTTCAGGAACCATGACCCACTAAATATATTTAATAGGTAAGAAAGAAAAAAACAAAAAACCCACATCCAAAAAAACCCCCCATAAACAAATAACCAAACTTCGATTAAGACACATGCCCGACCTGGGAGCACTCACAGTCAGCATGGTTTGTCACAGCACTCTGAGGTAGCATGTTCTGTGACACGGGTCACAGAACTGTTCTAGAATGTCTCCTGGACACAAAGTACAGGCATCAGCCTGGCCCTCCACAGGGGAAGATGACCTCGTCTGTGTTTACTGCTGATGTCGGACTGGACATGCCTGGCTTTCCAGCCACCCACCTTCTGCCATACAGCAACGCTCGGATGCATCTTCCCTCCTGTCTGCAGAGCCAGCCTCCTTTGCCATGTGTCCCCACTGGCTGGAGAAAAGCACAATAGAAGGAGCACTGGGCATCACGGCGTCCTTTCTTCTTATCTTTGACAACTACATTCACTAACAAAGACTCCTTCTTGTAAAGGCTACAAAGAAGTTCATGTCTGTTGCCTCCATGATTCTAGCCTATAAAGGTGTCTCTTTCCTCCCCTTGGATTTATGGAGTAGCAAGCAGTAAGCTCTCTAGGATTCTCTGGTAGGAAAATGAGCAGAGAAGTTTAAAAAAAAAATACACATACCAAAACAAACACAAAACACAGGTACAGGGTCAAAGCCAAGGACAAGTTTCCTTTTGCAAGTTGATATGTTTCGGTGGGGTGGTTTTTGTTTTGTTTTGTTTTGTTTGTTTGTTTTTGAGACATGGTTTCTCTACATAGCTGTGGCTGGCCTAGAACTCACTTTGTAGATCAGGCTGGCCTCAAACTCACAGAGACCCATAAGCTTCTGGAGTGCTGGGATCAAAGGCATGCACCACCACACCTGGCTCCCTTTTGTAAGTTAAAATGACAAGAGTTTACATCTAGGGAAGTGGCTTCTTTCTTTCCAAGAAAAGTAATTCACTTCAGCTCTGCCTTTTAAATACAAATATTCAGTCAAGACAGGATAAGGATTAAAGCTTCAAAGGGACCCACCAACTTCAAACCTGGTGAAAGTAACTATTTTTGTTTGTTTGTTTGTTTGTTTGTTTGTTTTGTTTTTCTCAATAGTCACAGATCAAAAAGATTTCAAAAGCCCTTTGTCCCAATTTGGTTCCCTCTTTGAAAGGTGAACCCTCAAAAGTAATCAATATACAAGTGAATAAAAAGAGCACATGTCCAGGCAAAAAAGGGCATGTGCTGGGCCTGAGTCACCACTTAAAACCCTATCTGGCATCACATAAAACCCTCAGAGGCTGTCCGGAAGTGAGCCCCAGGTATCACTGAACAGGTCAGCCACTGGAGCTGGCTGCATAACTGAGCATTAGACTTCAAGTATCCGAAATGCTGCAGCAGCCAGTCCTCTCAGGAGCCTGAGGAGCTCTTGAAGGCCTCCCTGCATCCCACTATACAGAAAGCAAAGCACCGCCAACGGGCTTATCAATGCAAGGGGCACGAGAACCAACAAAGCAGCCTCACGAAGACAAAGGGCTTTTTACCCTCTGTGCAATGCCAAGGTGCACGAGCTGGCACTCAAACAACTGAGTTGAGTTCTTTCTCTCCCTTTTGTATGAAACAGGAAAATGGTTCCATCGGGTTAACAGTGTCATCTTAAAATGCCATAAATTAAATAAGTTAGTTCACATTTTTTTTTCCTTTCCCAGCACTTAAATTACAGTCATGTCTCTAAAGCACTTTCGAAGCCTGCTGTAACAGTTCCAGGTCTCTTCTGTGGACACTGCTGGCCTTGGAGCACCCATAGTCCTCCATCTGCAAAGGGAGGTACTGCTCGAGCACCCCGAGGCCCTGCTCAGCAGGACTGGTGAACAGCTTAGTCCATGAGGGTTTAAAGTTTCCGCTGAATCCCAAAAATACAATACTTCCTATAAAAAGAGAGAGAAAAGTTGAAGTGTATAGCTACTAGTTCCAGCAAGATAATTATGGAAGTGAGTCAGAGTTGAGCAAAACAAAGACAGAAATGTATTACACATCATATATATATCCATTCATTACATATGTATATCACATACAGCATATATATATGAGATAGATAGATAGATAGATAGATAGATAGATAGATAGATAGACAGATAGATAGACAGATATGACAGATAAACACCAACACTTCCTGACACCAGCAATGGATTCTTGCCACACAAATGGCAAGCCATACCCCAACCATTTCCTCTAACAAGTCTTTTATGAAGAAATTATTTCAATGACACCTGCTCTGGGCAGAGCTAATGAGAGAGTCTAGTAAACAAACTCCATCAAAAAAATGTACTCACTGGAATACAAACCTTTGCTATAAAGGTATGCTGGTTTGGCCAGTCCCAGAAGAACTAATGAATCCGAGATGTTCATTTGCTTTATTTCTCCTCTTGTACTCAACAGAACGATTGACCTGTGAGTCAAAGTTAGAAAATCAGAGGCAATGCCAGTCATTCAGCATGCATTTACTGAGAATATTTCTGCACTAAGGACAGTAGAGGAATACTAGATAAAAGCAAATTCAGAAAGGAAAACAGGCCGGATGCCTTTTCACCCCTGCTGACATATGTACCAACTACTTGCTGCAAAGGGAACTTCTCAGGTTCTTAACTAGGAGAGTGGTAACACAGGGAAAACCAAAGGCGTGGAAACCAAAAGTCATGTAGACACCAGCGCAGACTGGAACCCAGCTTTTCACGGATCAGCCTATTCAGAGAGGAGTTTTGGTCTCTCTCAGGCACTCCAGTACTCTGCGTCACTACCTCTGTTAGGACCAAGTAAACACAAGCTCGAAACGTAAAGATAAGGGCTGGAATGCAGATCAGTGATTCAGCGTTGGTCAAGCATACGGAGGCCCTAGACTCATTCCCCAGTGCTACAAATAACAGCAACAAACAAAACCAAACATAAGCAGTTCTCCATGGTGTAAAAAGTTGGTTTCTTTTTGGTTTGTTTCTGTTTGTTTTTACATTTGTTTCTTCGTTTGTTTAATTGCTGTCTTTAGGGTGGCGGAGACAGCTCAGCAGATGAAAGCAGTTGTTCCAGCACAGGACCAGGGTTTGATACCCAGCACCTCCATGGCAGCTCACAACCACTGGTAACTCCAGTTCTAATAAATCTGATGCCTTCTCTGGTCGCTGCACGCACCAGGCACATCAATACACATAAAATAGTAAAGCTAAAAAACAAACAAACAAACAAAGTCATCTTCAGTGTACAGTAAGTCAACACAATACTCTCAGCTCTTTGGGATTCCTGCTTCTCTTCCTGGTTTATTTGAGTATCTGACCAACAAGCTCTTTGTGTTGGTATAATTTCTTACCATTCTTGGAAGTGGACTGCAGTGCCAGCTGACAAATACAACAGGGCAGCAAGCTGCTTATTCCCACTTATGGCAGATGTGCTGCTGTTATGATTTAATTTACTTAGCACATCTTATAGTATTGGCTTTCATTCAGAGAAAGAATCCCTCCTTCAACCTCTGGCCGCACTCAGACTTCTTCCCTTACCACTGTTTCCTAAACAACACAATAGAACATCTATTTGAATGGCATTTACACAAATCTTGCCATTAGAGACGATTTAAAGTGTACAGTTAGCAGTGTAGACTATAACGTGAGATCTGACAAGTGCTTAAGACTGTGACCATCGTGCGGGCTCTTGGTTGTAGTCTTCCTAAAGTGATGGTGAGTGGACACAGAATCACTGCAGTGCCGCAAATCTGAACTTCTCCATAGGACGGAATTATCAGGCTATTCTGGAAAAGTCCTCAACACACATGCATGCCAACCCACTAACAAGCTCTCGAGAAGTCACTGTCAGTGCAATCTAACTTCCATTTCTTTGATTTTGAGGCTGGCTGGACCATAGGTTGGCCTCAACCTTATAGTGCTCGCCCTGTCTCCACCTCCAGAATGCTGACATTTTAAGCACGCTCTACCTCCCTTGGCCCCTGCCCTATAACTTCTCAACACTGCATTAAAATGCAATATACACACATAGCAATCCTGAGGTCCCACGCATAAGCTTCTGCAAACTAAACAGTTATATGACCAGTAGCCAGATGGAGAAGTAGCTTATTCGAAGAAGTTCCTCCTTCGGCAGTTGCTTTTAAGTCTTCTTGCAAAACTATGCTTTCTAATGTTTATTGTAAGATTTATATCCTGAATTGTTTGAGGAAAAGTGAGTGATGAGTTTTTAAACACAGAATACTGAAACCTCAGAAAAAGATCCTCTAAAATTATCCTGGACCATAAGATGGACCTATAGCTGATCCTCTTATCCACAGGTTCTGCATACATAAACTCTACCAGTCCCTCATCCAAACTGTTTGGGGAAAAAAACATCACACCAGATGGCTCAGTGGATAAAGGTGATTGCCATGCAAGCCCGACAGCCTGAGTTCAATTCTCAGAGCCTACAGGGCAGAAAGAGAAGAACAATCCTGCAAGATAGTCTCTGATCTCTATGTGTGCATGCATGAGCCCACATTCCCATCACATACAAAGCAAACATAATGAAAAATTGGTGGTGGGGGATGTGCGTGTGTTCTGTATACAGACTTCTTCCCTTACCACTGTTTCCTAAACAATACAATAGAACATCTATTTTAATGGCATTTACACAAATCTTGCCATTAAAGATGATTTAAAGTGTACAGAAGGACTATGAAAGTTATATGCAAATATTACATCATCTTAAACAAGGGACATGGGCATCTGAATATTTGGGTTCTGCAGAGGGACCTCAAACCAATCTTCTATGGATACTGAAGGATGACTGCCTCTATATACACCACACCTCCGTCCCCAATACACCCCCCCCACACACAAACAGCATGAACACACACATACAGAAATTATACCAAAATAATCCAAAGACTTGATGGGACTTATTAGGAGGTAGTTCTGCAGGCTACATATATCATCAGAACAATGCAAAGCCAGGAGAGCCTCAATCCACAGGAAGCGTATGCTCTTTTCCTCAATAGCTGCACTTAACATCCACCACAGAGCAGCAAGGGTCTGGAATTTACTTCCTGTCCTCACCTATGATCTGGTCAACCCAGAACAACAACAAAAACCAGACCCTCCTTTTAAAAGAGAACTAGGACATTCAACCACTTAAAAATCCAGTTACTCTTTTTTCAGATACAGGTGACCTGGGAGATGAGTTCCTGAAACCCAGTACTGTACAATGCTTTGTGAGAGTCCATCAGTGGAACCAAAGACCACTGAAGAAAACAGCCAGAACATTACTTCAAAATTACAAGCCTTCTGAGCTAGTCAGGTGGGAAGTAGATAATTTAATTCTTAAGAGCGGCATTGGCAAGCACCAAACAATGAGCTTTTCCCTTCCCAGCAGCATTCTCATCAGCTGAGCAAGCTACATCCAAGCTCTGCCAATGGCCCAGAGATCAGCCTGTGGTGGGAAGGAATACCTCACGGAGCCTGGAATGCTCAGGGGGTAAACAGAGCTCAGAAGTAAGCACGTGCCATGGTAGTGAGCAGTCACATCTCAAGGTAGCTTTCCTCTGGTGCAGGGCAAGTTTGACCTACCTTGGAGGGATGCTAGTCTTTAAATACTCTTCCATGTGACTGATGTCTGCAGAAAGGAACATCTGCTTTTCCATCAACCGGAAGGGAACGCTGCAAGCATCCAAAACAAGGAGGAGGACTCCAGCGCTCCGGAAGGTAAAGTCAGTACCATTGACCTGAGAATACAAGAGTGTCTTATGTTGTCATCTCCATATCGGAAACATCCCTGGGAGAACTGAATTTTCTCAAGCTCCTTCTAAACCCAGGATTCAGATTGCATCATGTTTGGTTTACTGTCTCAGTGAAATGTCTAAAATGGTACCCATATTCCTCTCGATTTCAGCCTCTTCAACTATAGGTCATAACCCCAAGGACAGTCCCATGATTGAAGGGTTTCTGGGTGCACAAAAGACAAAAATCCAATCAAAGCTAAAACATATAATGCAGCTAGAGTGTTTGTGGCTGTGCTTAGCCAGGCTGCAGCATGTGGATGCATGGAACCTTGAGTGGATGGATGGAACCTTGGTTCTAAACACAAAACATGTATACTTTATACTGTGTGTGCTCTCATCCACAGTCCCAGCAACTGCTGCTTCAAACACCTCAGCTGAGCCAAGGATACTGCCTACTACTACCTGCACTATGCTAAATGTAGAGTTCTCTGCTCACATAGAAAAAGATGGTTGAATTAAAACAAAAGCCTTTACTATTTACTTACCATTGTTCCTCTGCATACAAGCACAGACTTGGTGTATCTTTGGGAGGTATTGTGTTAGAATGCTTGATTTTTTAAAAATTTGTTTAAGATGCTGACTTATGTTTCATTTAAAAAGCATCGTCAAATAAATTTTGGCCTAGGATTAGGACAGAATTCTAATAATTTCTAAAATGGCTCTAAAAATCCTTTTGCCATTTTATACTACGTATTTCTGTGAGATAGACTTCTTGGTACTGATGATTGTAACGTCAAAATAATAGGGTTTTTTATTTGTTTGTTTTTGGCTTTTCAAGATAGGGGTTTCTCTGTGTAGCTTTGGCTATCCTGGACTCACTTTGCAGATGAAGCTGGCCTTGAATTCACAGAGATCCACCTGCCTCTGCATCCCCAAGTACTTGGATTACAGGCAAGTGTCACCATGTCTGGCTGATGTTCTGTAGGTCCAAATAAATTCTTTTCTAAGTTGCTTTGGACATGGAATCTCTTCATAACAAGAGAAAAGTAACTAAGACGTTCTACTTAATAAATTCATTAATTTTGGCTCCTGAAATTCTTTTCTGGGGCAGTCAACCATCCAACTTTGCTGAGAGAAGTCCCTTGAGGCCTCCAGGAACAATGTTGACCTTCATCTCCCTTCCACTGACAGGATCGCTACACTGTTTCACAAAAACTTTCCCTAAATCACCATCTGTGATCTTGTTGAGAAAGAGAAATACCAAACGGGGCATGAAGGCCCATGCCTGTCATCTCAGCACTCAGGAAGCTGAGGCTGGCCAGCCTGGGCTACTTTTGAATAGCTTGACTCAAAAAAAAAAAAAAATTAACGAAATATATAACAACAAAAGAAGAAAGCCAGAATTACCAAATGTTCAATTTCTCAGTGGAAGAAGAGAAGACAAACAAAAATGACTGCATACTAACTCCACACTGGATCTGTCTATTAAGACTAAACCACACTACACTGAGAGGCAGCAAGGGCTCTCCTGGACAGGCTCTCCTCGCTCTGCCTGTCCGTCTTGAAATATTATTTCTAACCCACGACTTAGCGCATGAGAACTCAAAATGATCTGTTTAGCTATGTTTAAATTGTTCTAACCCAGGAAATAGTTCTGTAAATGACTGAGGTAAACTTTTCTCTTTTAATTACATCTTATCTATGTATGTGTTGGATGGCCAATGCAATGTGAAAGTCAGTCAGAGAACAACTTCCAGGAGTCAGTTTCCTCCCTCTACTAGGTGGGTCCCAGGGACTGAACTCGGGTAGTTAGGCTTGGTGGCCAGCCTCTTTAGCCACTGAGCCATCTTGTCTACCCACTGAAGTGAAACTTACATGTGGAAAAAAAAAATTAGGCATGATCCACAATTTATAAATATCAGAATATTTACATTTCATGTAAGACAAGAAAATCTATAAGGATTCTCAGTAATTCAAACTGTGCTTACAAAAAGGAGCACTTCCAGAAACAAACAAACTAACAAAAACCACACAAAAAACCAAAACACTTGTCAATGAAAGGAGGCAGAAAGAAGTTTTCAGAAGGGACTAACAGTGTGCCAAGGCCTCAGAAGTAGGGCATCATGTGAAAGTTCTGGAGATAATATGCCAAGAGGAGTTGGGAAGGAACACTGGCAATCAGAGCTAGGTGGTGGTAGACAGCGGCCCATTGTGAATTCACTTCACATAACTGAACATAAAGCCAGGTATGTGGGAAATTTCGTGTCACTCTTCATTTTGCTATTCTAAAAAGGTGGGGTGGGTATAAACTTACTTTTGTCCACACACACTTGGATTTGTGATTAACTTACTCATTGCTTTAACAAACTCAACTTCTACAGAGACCACAGGAAACTGTGAGACAGATAGCTGGACACCTGTTAGCAAAGAGCTCCTTACACAGAGGCCCCAGACCACCCTAACTTTGGACAGACCCCTTCCGAGTCCCAGTTTTTAGTTGCTACCTGGGCTATAAGCCCAAACTCTAGTGCTGAGCCTGTGACTCGCATCTATACCTTTACAGACATGCTCAGAAAAGACACTACTCTGTCTTCTCCCTTTTTTTTAAACTACATTCTTAAAAGGAACAGATAACCTTCAAGAAAAGGCCTAAGCAATTTAGAAGCCATCATTTTCTACACCTTAAACAACCTAGTGGTTTAACTACCAAAACGAGATTAAATGTGGTTTTTCCCATATTGAATGAACGTGCAAACTGCTCTCTTAACTAAAGATGCCTTTCCTGTGTAATGGTAAATAAAAAGTAATGTAATCAAATTTTTAACATTAGCTTAAGAGGAATTAATAAACAATCCACCTGAAAAAGAAATAACAACCACTGAAGAGGCATTTACACCTCAGCTACATTCCTGCAACCAGGAAGTAAAATGGATGGACAAACCCAAGACTGGTGCCAGAAATAATATGTCACTAGGATTAAAGATCAGAGCCACAGCAGTTCAAGGCGTGTGCTGGTCAGCTTTCGGCCAAGAAGTAATGTTGTGGTTCTACATCTGTGCTCCTACAAATTCCTTGAGATTCTGATCCCCAAAGGATGACATTAGGAGGTAGACAGAGCCTTTGTGGGATGAAGGGAGGCCCTTGTGAATGATCCTTCTGAGATACACCCAGGTCGAGACACAAAGAAAAGGTGCAATCTATGAGCTGGCAAACCAGCCCTCCCTAGACATCATTTCTGCTACTGCACTGACCTCAGATTTTCCAGCTCTGAAACAGTGAGCACAAAGTTCTGTTGCTTCTAAACTATCTAGTCTGTGGCATTTTGTCACAGTAGACCCCCAAAAGACTGAGGCCACACCAGTCCATACTTACGGAAATAAGAGATGGCTCTCCACGCTGAGTTTCTGCTTTACCAGGTGACTGGAATCTTACAGGGAGGTAGCTCTTGTGAGGGTCACTGCTAAACACCATCTAGACAAGAGCACATTGCATCTTTAAAGGCAACTGTATCCATGCCCCACAGGTCCCTTAAAACACTCCATTATACCAGCTGGCCATTTCCTTTATCTGAACCTTTTACACCCACTTCAAGACCTGGAATTCTGTCTCGTTCCTGGTACACAGGAAGTGTATACCTCTTGGTTTCTGAGGGGAGGGGGAAATCACCGTTTCAAGAAGGTGCTCTTAACAGTTGAGCCAATTCTTCGGCCCCAAGACACATCTTTTTAAAAGATCTTTTCAGATCAATTACCCTAAACTGGTATTCATCGAATCTAGAACCAAGGACAGTCTCTATATAAGGTGGGCCATACTGTTAACCACCTTCTGGTGTCCTGAACACGGCCAGGCCTCAGCCCCTCTCAGTGTCCCCAGAGTGCTTCATAAACAGAGCCAGTCACTGCACGCAGGCCCCCAGGTCCCTCTGTTCTACCGCCTCCAACAGTCAGGGCGGTCCTCCACTTTCCACAAGCATTTCCCATTCTTCCTTGCCTCTCTGCTTTCTCTGATGCTGTCCCTCCCACCTTCTCCTTTCCCTTTCTGTCCTCCAATTGATTCTTGGTCTCTGAAGCCCAGCTCCTTGACCAATGTGTCTCATTCACAAATTTCCAGGTATGAACAGCAAACGGTTCTTATGACTCACTGTCAACAATTTCACAGGCAAATATTCATCGCTATACCAGGCAACATTTGGAAGTTGGGTATTTCTTTTGAGTCTTTGTTTGGGTGGAGTTTTGTGAATTTTTCTAATTACTTCTAATGCACATGTGTTTGGCTCTGAGACAGAATACAAACACTTTTCTCAAACTTCCAAGTAAACACGATGCTCCAAACACTTCAAATGCTGTACAGCTGCAGAGCCACTCAGCAGTGCACTGCCTTCTTGTTTTTCTTTTTTCTTTTTTTTTATTTTCTATAATTTATTCACTTTACATGCCGATTATAGGCCCCTCCCTCATCTCCTCCAGGTCCCATCCTTTCTCCTTCTTCTCTCTTAGCCCTCTCCCCTAGTCCTCAGAAAGGGATAGCTCTCCTCCCCTACCATCTGACCACAGCCTATCAAGTCTCATCGGGATTGCCTGCAACCTCTTCCTCTGTGGCCGGGTAAGGACTCCCTACCATGGGGGAAGTGATCAAAGAGAGGGCAACAGAGTCCACGTCAAAGACAGCCCCTGCTCCCCTCACTAGGGAACCCATATGGAGACTGAGCTGCCTATTGGCTACATCTGAGCACAGGGGCTAGGCCTTCTCCATGCATGGTCCTCGGTTGGTGCATCAGTCTCTGCAGGGTCCCCTGGGCCCAGATTTGTTGGCTTTGTTGCTGATCTTATGGAGCTCCTGTCTCCTCCAGGCCCTTCTATTTCCCCCACTCTTTCCTACGACTCCCTGCGCTCTTAAGGGATGGGTTTTATCTACTGTAGACCAGGCTGACCTTAAAATCCTCTTGCCTCAGCCTCAAGCACGTGTAATAATATGTATATATCACCATGCCTGGCATCAATATTTTTTAATGCGTTTTTCTAAATGTCTATGAAATAGGAACTAAGAATACTAAAGGTAGGAGAAGATGCTGTTTGGTCAAAAAAAAAAAAAAATAATAAGCCCAGGATACCAGTGATGATCAAGTCATTTTGAAAAGTTATCAAAAACAAAACAAACAACAACAACATCAAAAAGAAAAGTTATCAAGTGCCTATAACCCAGCACTCAAAAGGTAGAGTCAGATGATCAGGAGTTCAAAGCCATCCTTTGCTTGATGAGACCATGTCTCCAAAACCACTGAATACATGCATACATAAATAAAACAACTTTATAACACTTTTAGACATACAAACTCAATAGTTCTAATGGAACAGAACCCTATCCCTAGAAAATAAATAATTTTAATCAACACAATAAATTTTAATTTTAAACTATAAAGCTCATAATCAGGGTAAATTAAGCAAGAAAAAAGACACTTTTGCTATAAATGGGGACTGGTCTGTTTCTTATGAGCGACACATTCTAGAACAAACCAAAATTCAGGAGGTGTCAGCATGTATTTCTAAAGTTGCAAGAAAGATGCTTCAAAGCCAAGTACCCCTACTGCCACACCAAGGAACTCTGACTTCCCCCCAAAGGCCCCGTTGTCTTCTCTGCTTACCTGCTGGGTGCCACACCCTTGGCAGCGGCCCGTGAGCATGGCTGGCATGCGCTTGACTGCCGAGGGCTTCTTGTAATACTGTGGGTACGCTTTGGCCATGCAGTTACTGATGTCTTTGGAGTCTGTTGCTGCCTGAATCTTGACTCTTTCACATCCCTGAGAGGAACAGTAACTGTGACCATCTCTGTGGCTATGGGCTCTGAGATAAAGGAACAATAACCTGAAACACAGAAGCCAAGCCAACTGATGTTAGTTCCTCTCAGAAGCATAAAACTTCTCCATTTGATTCATGGCCGAGGGGATATTTCTCCAATAAAGTAACTTTTCCTTAAAAGAAAAATAAATTGCAAAGCTAATAAAATCTCTCCCTCTCCTCCTTACCCCCTAGTATATCCAGTCAAGTTCATGACTGCCTTGGGGAGTACAGTGATGCTTTCATTCAGTTGTCCTGAAGGACATCAAAGTTGATTTCTGGTTTAAATTACTTCAAGGGGTCATCTGAGGAGAAGGAATTTAGCTTGTCTTAAAAACTCCTCGACAACTATATTACGTTGAGTTTAGAATATGGAACATTAATATCAGCTTTTCCACTTATAGTTATTGGTAATAAATCACTGTGGAAACAGGAATAACAAAGCAGTGACCGTGGCTTGTTTAACAAAAGCTAAGAAAATCACAGCCCTGCGATGCTTTCTGGGAACATGTGGACCCATGGTCCGTCCTTCTCAACTGGGCCAAGACCAGGCTGAGGAAAACAGTTTCACCAATTCTGAATTATATTCTCCCTACCAAGATGAATGGGAAATCCAAGTTATAAGAAATGCTGCAGCACTATCTGAAAAACCCAGTGTTTCCAAACCAAAGAAGTCAAGTTTCAAAGGGCTTGATAAAATGTGACTGATTACCAGAAGTCAAGAGCTCATATTTTAAGATGAAGTCAATGGACAATACAAAATCATAATTTAAAGGGAAGAATTGTATGAAATTCTCAAAGAATAAATAAAAACATTATAAATACATTGTTTTTAAACAGTAAAAGCCAAGCATGGCAGCACATGCCTTTAATTCCAGCACTCAGGAGGCAGGATGGGTGGATCTCTGTGAGTTCAAAGCCAGCCTGGTCTACACAGAGAGAGTCTGAGGCCAACCAGAGTTCATAATGAGAGCCTGTCTCTGCCTGCCCCCTCAAAAAGTAAGAAAACATCTAGTAATTTTAGCACAAAAAGTTAAAGAATTAAACTGGGGCCTAGATGGACAAAAGCCTTCTAATTATAATTTAAATTGTTAAAATGAATATAACTAAAAAAATACTTTTAGAAACTGGATTTTTTTTAAATAACCAAGCCAGAAAATAATGTCCCATCTTTGTACATGCATAATCACTAATTTGTGGCCACTGGAATGCCCTTTCAAATTTGGGTGTTCCATTTATTTTTGTGAAAATTCAACTGAGAAAGTGGAAATTCTGTTGTCAACAAAATAAAGGTCCACCTAGACAATTTATATTTAATGAGAGATTGAAAATTGGAGACTCTTAAGCTTACCACACTGGCTGCTGCAAGTACTAGAGGGCAAATGAGTTGCTTCATAAACAGAGGTTAACCAGATACTTAACAAATGAGCCACAACTTTCTTCCCCCAAACAACCTTGTTCCCGCCTCTCCCAACTCTGAACTTTTTGTCTTTCCCAAACATGCCATGCCAGTATTAGTCCATGCCTCCATGCATCTGTGTACTGCTTCTTTTACCTGAGACTCCTCACCCAGCTGTTTCTATCTTCTCCTGATCACCCACAAATTAGCTAGTGTGGCACCCTTTCCACAATGTCACTGGTTACTCTAGGTAAGCTTGTTAGTTAGTCCCTAGTGCACATGAAGTACCAGGCTGTTGGACTTACAGCACTTAAGCTTTTCGCTCTGTAATAACTTGCTTCATTGACAGTGAATTCACTGCAGAAATGGATCTGATCTATACTGAAATCTTCACACCTAGATGGTGGACGGTCAGCCTAAGGATAAAGTCGGAAGGAGCATGCTACTTGCTGGAGAGAAGAGGAGATGAGGCCTACCATAACCCACAGGCTGAGACTGTAACGACAAAAGCAGACAAAGCCACCAGGACCCCAGGAGAGCAGGATAAGAATTAAAAAGTGGAAAGACGCAGCCTAGAGAAAGTTGGAAGCAAACATGCCATGGTTATACACTGATGTTTAAAAACTCATGGTCAGCTTGAGAAATAACCTTAAATTAGAAGGGGGAAAGGGGTTTTCAGTGAAATATAAACAGTGTCTTATATAAATCACTATTACAGAGTTGTTGCAGAAGAACAAACTGTTTTCAATTTCAATTGGGCTTATTGACAGCTCCTGACAATGATAATCTCTTTCCCTAAATTGCCTTAATAAGTAAACAGCAAATATCTTTACTTGAGTCCTACTGCCAACAGTAATTACAAGTCATTTGAGCTCAGCTCCTAACCCCTAATAGTGATGAGCACGAGTGCCCACGCCAGCTGCTCTGCCAAACAGCCATCATCATCCCACCCGTCCTTAGCTATGCCAGAGAAGCAGCAATTTCATCATCAAAAAAGAAAAACAGCATTAGTTCTCATCCACGGCTTCCATGAATTACCCTGTGCCAGAGTCAAAATAGAATTTTCTCTCCGATGGCTTCCTCTGCAGCTCATCCATCGACTGTGCAGGCTCATACTCTTCAATTCTGGATAATGAGCCGTTCTGTCGTTGCAGAAAGCCAAAGGTAACCTGAAAGCTTGTGTTGGATGGGTAACAGAGGCCAACTCGGATCCAGTCATCCCTTTAAAGGAGAGATAAAGAGTTATTCACACTTGAGTTATTATCTTTTGAACACTGTAGCACATGGAAGTTTTAAGCATGATTTCTCTCTGCCTTTTGAGTCTTGAGCCTGGTATACTTATCTGGTTCCCAAATATCGTAAATGTATATGCAACAGAAATATGATCTGTCTGAAAACATGAAAAGCAAAACTTGGCTTTATTTGTGAATTAAAATTAGATAACATATACTCT